AGGTGAGGGTATTGATACACTAACCATTAGTAAGAGATGATGCTAATCTTAATTCATAGGTCCCATCTTCATTCTTGAACAATCTTGTATTGTATGGGCTCAAATCCTATTAATAATGATAACAATGATAGCATCATGTACATGTATTGAAAAAGAGAGGAGTAGCAGGAGTATTTGGACTAATGCTCATAGCATACATGGTATGCTATCTCATCTCCCTTCATTTGTTCCCAGAATCAGTTGAAGATGCAAAAGCTTCAATGTTTTCTGTTAGTTTGTTGGCAATGACAATTGCAAATCCAATTATCCAATTATCCATCTAAGTATGAATGAAGCTATGTCTGGTGTATGTACAGGACAGGATGCATAGCCAAAAATGCACGACTTAGTGGGATGCAGAGTTGCAGGCACATGATATGCTTCACTAATAATATCTCAATGATATTGCAGTTTTCACAGCTACATGTCTAGTTTACATTGCACAGAGTGCATTAATTTCCCTAACCATCCAATGCAGGATGCAATTGCAATCAAGGTGTTTCTATAGATTATACATGTATATCCAGAGCTTCCTTCAAATGCCTATTGCCTAGTGAACCACGTCATAACTAGAAGCTAATCAAGCTATGAACACAATGGCCTTGTACATGTAAAATAACATGAAAAACATCGTGTACGTTATACCATACACATTCACAATTCGCATAATGTGTCACTAGACGAATAGTACACTTTCAATTTTGTATAAATAACTCAACTCTCTCTCTTACTTTATTCAACATAAATTCTTTTATGATTTCAGCATCTTCTTTACCACAGTTACCAGAATAGTAAGTCGTTATACCCTATTAAATATTCATAGATTATCAATTAACACAAACCACACCCACTCACATCAGGAGGGAACGCTAACTGTCGTACAGCAGGTGGGTGGAGTGAGAACATCCCATCTGCGACTGAGGACCAGAGGAACGAGATCCTCTCCTTGTTGTCACGGTAACACTGACTGGAAGTGATGAGTTTCTCCAGCTTCTCTCGAGGAAGATCAGGAATGAATTTGGTATCACCGAAACTTTTATAATTACCAAAATTGGAGTAGAAGGCAGCAGAATATGCTAAAAATGACTATAAATAAATAAACAAACAAATAAATCAACGAGTAAATAAAAAAAAAAACATTAATCAGCTGATCAATGAATATCATTAAAAGTGGTTACACCCATAAAAGCATGTACAACTCACTTTATATTCATTGTCAGACAGGCCACACCCATTAGCTAGTTCCTTAAGTGCCTCCAGTGATTGTCCCCTAAACAGCTCCCCCAGTAATAGGAATATACCTGGGGACTCGGGGGACGTCTGTAGTAGACAGATTAGTCCTCCTTCCCAGCATGCGCGACCAAAATGATGAGCATAAAGCTTCTCCTTATCTGTGAGTCCTTTGAAAGCTTCAGTGCAGTCCAGTTTATTGACTGGAGTATCCGGAGGAATGAGATACAAGCTGATGTCTTCCTTTGGATCCGCCGCCATCTTGAAACCAAGTCACGTGACCAGCTAGTTAATAATTTTAGTTAGTTAACTATTCGTTAAGGTTATTAATTTTCTCAGCTATGCCTCTCAGTGTAGAAATAGAATTCAGTGGAGGAGCTGAGCTTCTCTTTAACAAGATAAAGAAACACAAGATTGAGCTTCCCGATAAAATGGGCGTGGCTAACACCTGGACGATAAGAGATCTGATTGGTTGGATAAAAGAAAACTTATTATGCGAGAGACCTGAACTATTTGTACAAGGGGAGAGTGTGAGGCCGGGGATATTAGTAATGATTAATAATATTGACTGGGACCTCGTGGGGGGACTGGATTATGTAATCAACAATAACGACACCATTCTATTTATATCTACTTTACATGGTGGATAATATTATTATAATAACTAATAATAATTATTATTAATTTAACACAAAATTCATTAAAGTTTATTTGTATTAAGATGTTGTTGCCTATTATAAAATTAAAATTATTATTAGTTGATTGATTAATAATGTGATTTCCTTACTGGTGCTACTTGAGATGCTGTTCCTATTTTGTTTTCTGACAGTATTTTCATTGGTGATGTTGCTATTGTGATGTTACGACTGCAGAATGTCTATAACAGAAAATTAAAATATTAACATAATAAAGAATGTTCACTGTGTACATGTACATGTAGTTACTTACTGTAACATTTAGTGATGATTGATTAGTAGTGTGAAACCTTTCACTAAAAAGGTATTAAGAGAGAGTACATTAATAGCTAACATCATCACCATACCCTAATGAGATGGCACTGGGTCTAGAGGCATCAATAGCAGTGACTTGTCTCTCCTTTGCTTCCTAAGATGAAGAAAAGAAGATGTATATGTGTATGTATGTACATACATGTACATGCATACATTTGAGATACAGTACATGTACATGTACATGCATGTATACACTTACTTGTAGGCACTTATAATTGGTGGTTCTCAGTATTAGTTTCTCTTCTTTCTCTTGTAATCTTTCTCCCGATATCTGAGCGTCCCTCAGTTGCTCGTAAAACTGATACTCTTCATCAAGATCTCGTCTGTGCTGCTCATCAATGAGCTCATGCTGTTGCCTGGTAACCTCCTCTGCCCTCTCCTCTGAGCAATGAATGATCTCCTGGAGACACTCTTGATCGGGTGAGGTTGGGCGGAGTCCCTCTTGTGCCAATTCACTGCCTACTTCATACCAAACCTCACCTGTCTGTACAGGGCATATTAGAGAGAGGGACACTTACACTTTATATTAATTCATAGTTGTAGTGTTACCTTGAAATCAAGATAATTCTCTACAATACACAATGTTATTTTATCTTCAGTATTTATACCATCAGATGGATGAGAAAAACCTAAAATAGCGATC